AATGTTTCCTGAATTATGGATGCTCTATGTTTAATGTATTGGATTAATTGTTTGATTATGTGTTCGGAATCTCACTGAGCTTTTAACTCATCCCTTTAATTTTGTCTTCCTTAACAGGGAAGGCGAGCAAGGACGTGAGCTCGGTATAGACTAGCCAGTCTAGTTCTTTTGAATCTTTTGTAATGGTTCTCGCCCTAGTGCTTGGCACGGGTTGGTTGTATAGTGAATTGAGAACTTTTGTATATTCGATGGTTGTATTTTCTTTTGAGATAGTAATGTATATAAGTTTCGCTTAAGTTTTGGATTTTTGTTATGTTATTCCTATGGTTGTATTCTGGATTTGATTGAAGTGAACGACTGAGCCCCGGCGAGAGCGGGGCAGACGGTCCGCTGAACCCTTTGGTTCGCCTTAGGGGGAGGTGGGGCTGTCACACAAATTAAATAATTTTAGAAAAATGTATACAAGCTCATAATAAGAGGTATGATCTTGCCGTTGAGTGTAATGAAATTGTCCATATGACTAGTAAATAGAGTTTTGAACTAGCTATTGCTTGTGAGGTTTCAAATGAGATCTAATTTAATATTGGAAACATAAATATGTTTGATCTTGTAGATTACATCCACTATTATTTATCTAGGCTTTTCATCAAAGCTGTCCCAAATTTTAATAAAATCAATTTTGACCTGAATTAGCATATTGATAAACATGTCTATATATAGAATAAGGAACCCTAGTTTCAAGTTCCTATCATCTATATCAATAAAATTTCCTAAGAAGATATTTGGGTTCTAAATTAGATTATTTTTATTTATTTTTATTAAGTTTATTATTGTTTTTGTTATCAATTGTAATTATATGTAGAAAAGGACAAAGGAAGAAGAAAAGTTGTGTAGATATTTTTCTTCTTGATCCATGCGAATCCAGATGATAATGCAAACAGATTTGTTCACGGATCTCAGGAGTAGAGATTTCGAATTTATTCCATAATTCTGTACCATTCCAACTAGATTTGTGAGTAGATCCTTATGGTGGATATGATGTTTTAGTTCATTTAGAGTTTTCTATGATATTTTTGTTTCCTTTTTAGTTTACAAATTTATAGCCTCTAAAAAGACATGTCTAGAATCTTTTATATATTTTATCAACTATTAATCAATTTATTCATTAAAAATTCCAATTGTTGTAAGTTTTCTCACATTTGAAGATTCTTTGAATCTTTAGTTCATTTAGAGTTTTCTATGATATTTTTGTTTCCTTTTTAGTTTGCAAATTTATAGCCTCTAAAAAGACATGTCTAGAATCTTTTATATATTTTATCAACTATTAATCAATTTATTCATTAAAATTCCAATTGTTGTAAGTTTTCTCACATTTGAAGATTCTTTGAATCTTGTTTTTAAGGATTACAGTACAATATATTGCACCCCTATTATCATATTATTTTCTTTAAAAAAATACATTTTTATATTGTTTAGTTAAATTTGACATGTGATTGGATGTGATTTTTTGGATGGGAATGATTGCATAATGCCTTTTCCTATTCTTGAAATTATTATCATGTAACGGGCACATGACTTTTTGAAACCAAAAGATGTTTTGAGATAGGGTTTAGGACCAACTTGTTGCATTATGTGTGGATGTACTGAATGAATTTACATTGTTTTAAAATTGAGGGTGAAAAAAAATATATATATACATGTAAAATGCGAGAGACTATGAGTTCTTCCATAGTGATATCAAGTAGAATATTCAATTATAGATGTGAACTAAGTGGATACATACTTATACATTATAAGAAGACGTTCTGGGGACTGTTCATGCCTTTTTTATCTGCTTTTATTTACTTCCTACAGGGGTTATTTCCGTCGTTGTATCCTGCTGCTTGATGCTTCTTTTGCGAGTAGCACTTCTACCTTGTGCTTGCGTATTGGGCAATATGTCCTTTGTGCCCTTCATATGAAACTACTATATACCATTGTACTGGATTCTATGCCTTGTATACAACTATCTATTGTTATGTTATATATATATAATTTTATATATTTTCCTTATTGGCTCACCGCTAACATTAGTTGCCCATTTGTGCTTATATAACATTAATGAGATTTGATGCTCATGTTCAATCAACAAATAGTGTTTTGTGTCATTTAATTATGTATTTACCCTCAAAGATGCTTTTTGAATGGATTGATAATTTGTGATTGTTGTCCAAGACAGTTATTTCACCCCCGAACTCTTACTTCTGCTATTGGAGCACCTCTGCATGTATTCATAGCTGCTCTTCTTTTTTATTTGTCTTCTCTACATCTATATGTTTCTGCTTTATTCTGCCGCTTATCTTATTGTCTTATGCAACTTTATTATCAAGTTTGCCTTTATGTTTGCAGATTTAGCTTCATTTGGTTCTATTGCATATTTTTTTGGTTAATTGATTGAACATTATGTAAATTTTACTTGATTATTTGTGTTGCAATTTGGTGTTAGCTTTTTGCTTAATTCATAGCTATTAGTGTTGGCTTCTCTATCCAATGCATAATGTCTGCAAGTGATACCTTTAGAAATTTAGCAAACAAGAATATTCTTCGAAATCAGAAAGTGAGAGAAAGATATGCTTCGTTATCAATAGAAGAGAAAGAGGCTCCGGCATTAAGCAGAAGAAGGCTTATCAAAAAAGGAAGGTGATGAAAGCTGCTGCATTAACCTACTGTGTAAATGAACAGCAAACTAACTGTATGCAATTTAGTCTCTATCAGTTTTATAACTTGCTTGTTTCAACGGTTGTTGGAATTATTTGGTATATAAATTCAAGCAAGATTTGAAAATAAAAATACAGAGGATGTTATAATAAAAAAATTGTCTTACATTTTGGAATTCAATTGCTCCCTTATTTTGCTTATTCATGCTAGCTACCGATGGCCGCCATCCATTGTCTATGATTGATACCTTAGAAAATATAGCAGTTAAGAAGATTTTGCCCGCAATTAGAAGTTAAGAGAAAATATGCTTCTTTTTCAATTGAGGATAAAGAAGCTTGTCGAGCTAAGCAAAGGGATGCTTATCAAAAAAAGAAAAGCTGCAAAAGTGACTACATCAACTTGTTGCATGAACGGATAGCAAAGTAATGTTCTGCTATGTACTTTTTCCATGAACAGTCAACTTTATTCTCATTTTTGTAGTAATTTATTGCTTTGCCTATATTATTTTTAAGCCAAATTCCTCGGCAGATGCATGTTTCTCCAACACATGTACCAGCAACTGTAACAAGTATGCAGTGATGCATAGCTCACGGTAATAATCAACAAGATAGCAGTAATCGTATTGAGCAGCATCCTAGTCTCACAGAGCCATTTGTGCACCAAATTAAAGAAGCTGAGGTTAATAGCCAGCGACCTACTTCTATAAAACCAGTTGGATTTTAAAATAGCAAAGGTAACCCTTAGTTTGCATTTCATCGAGTCGGATTAAATTATATTCTTCTCTACACGCTTTCTTGTTAGTTGCTGCACCAATTGAACCTCAATCAGAAGCCAGAATAAATGAACATGTATCGTTGCCCTCGACGTTGGAAGAAGGTTTATTGATATTTATTGATTACTCTTATAAATTCCTCAACAAAATGTTATTGCTTTTTTTGCTTATCAATATATTTTCTAACATTACGTAGGCTCCTATCTAAAACTTTATGTTCTAAAATATATCCTCGAGCTACAACTGTGGAACCATCCCAAGTATAGATGCTAAATAAATACATGTACATATATATATATATATACACACACACACATCATCTAACAATTTATATGCTTTAATCTATTAGGTACCCTTCTCATGTGTGACAATTGCTGTAACTTTCTGCACCAGACTATTAATGATCTAACAGGTTAGAGTTGCATATAGTATGTTTACAAATATAGTGACTATAGTATACTCGACAAGTCTTCTTTGAGTTTTTACACTTTATTTTTTCTGCAATAAGATAGCTCCATAGACTCTCTTCTCAACCAATAGTAGCCATTGCTTCTCATAATGTAGAGAAAATTGCAAAACGTATGCATATCAAATAAATGATCTGAAATTATTGCAAAGGATATGTTTCTTATTATGAAAATTACTTGCTTTGCCTTCTGACGAATCAATTTTTTACTTAATAGCCAAAACCTCAGCAAGGAGACTTTATATGTAAATAAGAAAAACACAGATGTGAAAGAAAGGTGCCACAACATCTAGATTTCAATTGGATTATATTTCAACTCAGCCAAATTTTGAAACTCTCCCGTCTGGTGCGTGTGGGGCTAGAGGTGGTATTTAGCTGGTTGGATGCCCTAGAAGTGGGTTTGGGTAGAAATGTTGCCATTATTATTGAAAAGAATTATTTTGTGCTTGTTCGAATTTCATGCCTTTGTTATTTTTGGGTATTAGGGCAAACAAAGGTAAAATGCTAAGGATTTTTGAAAAAGAGGAAAATGTTAGAGTATACCATGTTGAAGTTGGGAATTTTTATTTTTGTTGATTTATTAGGTTTTTGTAGGAGGGGAGGGGAGGGGTGGTAAGGAAAAGATGTGGAGGGGAGTAGAAAATGGAATAATTGAGAATTGGACTGTTGTTGTAGAATGAGGAAGAAATGCTTTTATCAGAAGGGTTTGAAGGAATTGAAGGTTTGAATGGTATACTATATGGAGATAAATGTAAATCAGATGTAAAAAGTTGCCTTCTTGCTCTTACTGATGATATTTTTTGTGATATGTAGAATTTAGGGACTCTATTTTACTTGTGTGCAATTGGTGGCTAAGATTGTATAGCGATTGAGTTACTAGAACTGTCTTTTTATTTGATTATGCTTATAAATTTTATCCTTCTTCTTTGGTAAGTAGTGCATGCTGGGTAGAATCTTTTCTAACTTTATCCAAATGTACTTGGAATTCTTGAATCTAGTCTGCTATTTATAAAATGTATTTAGAGTTATTTTATTTTACTTTATTTATTTTTGGATGGTGGAAAAATGGATCGAATTTTGGGCTTATTTCAATCCTGTGGTGAAGTTCTGAGTTTAGTAATACAACTGCTTTCTGTAGATATTGATCTTTCAGCTGGTCGACCTGGAGATCAATCCATCCATCGAGTGTTTGTTGACCCTGGTGGGAGCCATTGCATTGCCACCATAGTTGGTCCTGGAGGTGCTGATACATTTTATACACATGCAAAGTGGACCAGACCTCGTCTACTAAGCAAATTGAAAGGTCTTATTGTAAATGCTGTTGCTTGGAATAGACAATTGATAACAGAAGGCAAGAACAGCTCTTTCTTGCTTCTTTTATATGGCATGTTATTTATATGTTTCAATTCATGTATTGATTAGATCCTTTATCTAATGTAGTATCTTTTATGTGAGCAGCTTCCACTAGGGAAGTCATTCTAGGTACAGATAATGGGCAGCTTCATGAAATTGCAGTAGATGAGAAAGATAAAAGGGAGAAGTATATTAAGTTTTTGTTTGAACTAAAAGAGCTTCCTGAGGCTTTCACCGGCTTGCAGGTTTGAACCTTCACCGCTCCTGTCATTTTCTCCTTATTTTATCTTTGGGTAGTTTTCTTGGTGAATAATAACCCTTCATTTTTTTAAGCATTTTCTGTAAGATGTTCTTTCCTAATGTATATTTTGTAGTTTAAATTGATGGGAAAGAAAATTTTCAAGTTACTTGGTGAATGCAACATTGATGCCTGGTAGATGTTCAATTATGCATGCTTTCAGTATCTCGTATTCTTCTTGAGCTGTAGTTATTCTAATTAGAGAACAGTAGGTTTTATATATGCATTGCAAGTGACTTGATGAACCTTTGTGCTACTGGAAACTAATTTTTTTATGCTTTTCGAAAATAAAATTTGTACAATTTTGTTGAACGGACTGGAGTAAAGGCTGGTTGCTTACATGTGCCATTTTGCCTATTTTCTAGATGGAAACAGCCAATGTAATTAATGGAACTAGATACTATGTCATGGCTGTTACACCTACGAGGCTTTATTCTTATACAGGAATCGGTTCATTAGAGGTAAGTTTTTAATTGGTTCCTCTGTTATGGTTCTCTTCAATCCTGGATTTTTTATTTTTACTTGAGTTCAATTTGATTAAATTGTGTTTCATTTTTGTATTGCTTCATCTCTGTCTCAAGAAAAGGGTGAGATGGAAATATCTCATTGAACAATCGGGTTTACCACTATAAAGATATTCGCCAATATTTTAGTCATGTTCATGCTTATAGATTCATTGCTCACACTTTAGTTTAATTAAAGTTTTCAAGTAAGAACTCAAAAGCCTTTAACAAGATATGCTTGCTCCTTGGAGATCTCTTTCACCTTGTGGCTCATTTGCCCTGAGTAGTACTTAGCTGCTCACAACACTTGTGGTTTTGCTGCTATGTTCTTAGATACCAATTAGGACTTTGTGATGATCCAATGAACTCGTTCAAGTCCACACCACTATTGTGAGATACTTCAGCCGTTAGTAATATATCATTCTTACTATTTAGCTTTGATATTCACACACCTAAGATACTCATTGTAGGACATTTCTTATTGTGTTACAATACCTATGCAATATTTAGTTAAGTTTTGGGTTCAATATTTGGTATGACACCTTGATTTGTTGTCCTTGATGCTTGCTCAGATACATGTATTTAGGTACATACGCATAAACTTATGCATGCTGGTGGAAGACTTCATGCATGTGCTTCACTAATTTTCAGTTCATTTCTTAATGCATCTCTGTTCATGTACTTCTTTTCTTATCTCAATCACTTGATGGTCAAGTATTCAAAGCTACTGTAGTTTGTTTGACTGAAACTTATTGCTGTTTCATTAACCACTGTGTTGCAGTCTGTGTTTGCTAGCTATGTGGATCGAACCGTTCATTTCACGGAGTTGCCTGGTGACATTGCAAACAGGTTAGTAAACTTCTGTATGCTTATATTTTATAAATGGATTAAAGTCAAAATTTTTTATTTAGTTAATTTATATATTATGCTTATAATATGCCCACGTGCCTGTAATTATGTTCTTTTTTTTTGTGCATATGTAATTATGCTAGTTTTGACAATTAGTATGATGTGCTTTAAAGTCATTTAATCGAAATCTTATTGTGCCTTTGACTTTTGTATAGTATCTAAATAAAATAATTTCCCAGTGGTTGAAGATATAAGAACACAGGTCAATATTAGATCTCCATTTCAGTACATTCTGGAAATACTTTACAAATTTATCTGTTTGGGAGTCTTTTGGCTTAGATACTAGACAAAAGATTGGGGATGCAACAATCTCTGATACTATGCAAGAGACTAATGGATTGGGCGAGACCACCACTTTGTTGGTATTTATTTATGACAATGAGCTTAAATGTTGCGTGATTTGTACACTATAGAGGTTGTTGGAATGCAGTGGTGTGGATTTAATCTCTTAAGAGGTCACTAAGTCGTTTGCAAGGAAACATCTATTGAAATAGGATACTAACATAAGTTATTTCTGTAAGTGAAGATGGAGTTTGATGTGTCTTCTTGCAGTGAACTTCACTTTTTTATAAACCAAAGGAGAGCTGTTTACTTCGCATGGCTTTCCGGAGCCGGAATCTATCATGGTGGTTTAAATTTTGGTGCGCAACATAGGTAAGAGATGACTGTTAGCCCTTTTTCTTTCTGCAACTCAGAGGACTAGATTTTTAGTCATCATTATTGCTAGTACTCTTACATTTGCTGTTTGTTTTACACATACAGTAAGCAGTCTATTTAGACACAAAGTAACATAAATATGTTGAGCTAATAATAGTTTCTTACCTAGGATTTTTGTGAATCTTGTGGTAGTTCACCTGATGGGGATCAAAATTTTGTGGAGAATAAGGCTCTTTTGAGCTATTCAAGATTAGGTGAAGGAACTGAAGCTGTCAAGCCTAGTTCTATGGCTGTGTCTGAATTTCATTTTCTTCTTCTGATTGGAAACAAAGTCAAGGTAAGCTAAAAGAGGCTCAGAGTCCTATTTTATATTTGTTAGAGCTGTGAAAGTTCAGTGATTGTTGATCTTGCAACGTAAAGTTGGGCTTTATCCTTGTCTGAAAACATTTTTCTAGAATATCCTCTCTCTGCTTCCGAAAATGAAGATAGCACTGATGCTCATTCCTGCATAAGGAGTTAGGACGCTTTTATATTTTTAGGTTGCACCCCTTGTTGCCACTTAATATAAAGCCTTATCTCAAAAAACGAATAAAAAAAAAGAATCAAAACAAAAATTGTATGTGAATTGGGCTTACTCCATATGATATATGTGGCTGATCATGCATTCAAGGAGTTCCAGATAAGGGCAATTTAAAACTTTAGGGAGGATTTTACGTCATAGGAGTTGTAGTTAAAAAAAAGCCGCCAATTTGTTGCTTAAAATCCATATAAAAGTAGAGCTGATTGAGGAGACTTGTTCATTTGGTCCCTATGTGTTTTAGTTGAACAACTTCATAATTCTTTTGGCTGTCATTTTGTCTGTTGTTTTCAGTCAAATAATTAAAACTGTGACCATGGTTCATGTTATGTTTCGACAATTTCTTGTAGGTTGTCAATAGAATTAGTGAGCAGATAGTGGAGGAACTTTATTTTGATCAAGCATCTGATGCAGCTTCAAGGGGTATAATTGGATTATGCAGTGATGCATCTGCTGGACTGTTCTATGCATATGACCAGAACTCCATTTTTCAGGTTTGCTAGAATGGTTTCGCTTGCGTCTCTTGTCACAACACCGGCCAAATCTGTTGATCTATTCATCTGATCATGATGATTCAGGTATCTGTGAATGATGAGGGGCGAGACATGTGGAAGGTGTACTTAGACTTAAAGGAATATGCTGCAGCTTTGGCAAATTGTCGTGATGCACTCCAGAAAGACCAAGTTTATTTAGTGCAGGTCAGACTTGACTGAATATTTTTACCTCTACAAAGTGATGCATAAGTATGCTTGTAAACAAGAGGATTATTTGGACACTGTGAATTGCATTCCCAAGATTCTATACATCCTCATGTGGGATGTTTTAGGTTCAGCAATTTAACTGGCAGCTGTGTTTTGCAGGCTGAAGCTGCCTTTTCCGCTAAGGACTTTCTCAGAGCAGCATCTTTCTACGCGAAGGTTGCAATTCTTTAGACTTTTGACTTGAGTTGCAGTGTTAATTGCTTTAAGTATACCATGTTATGTCACGTTGATATATTTTATCATTGTATCCTCCTTGAAATGTTCTGTAGCATTTCTGGTGTTTGATAATCTGCAAATTGGCTACATAAAAGCAGGCATATGGTTTGCATTAGACACTGCTACATACATGATACATGCATTTTGCATCAGGCATGCGCTATTTGCTTCCTAATCTGTTGGAGAAAACTTCTTACAGAAGGAACTCTGTTTTGCAGATTAATTATGTATTGTCGTTTGAAGAGATCAGTTTGAAGTTTATTAGCATGGGAGAGCAGGTAATAGAAGTGACTTCTTTGAAACATCAAGCTCATGTTTTGACAATTATGTGCTGCTCAACATGGAAACCTTATCAGAGATGCAATTGTCTTATCAACTTTTGATGAAGCATGAACAAATTTGCTCTAATCATTCATTCGTCATGTGAGGCAAAGTTTGATCAATTCAAACTTACAACTTAAATCTTAAATAGGTCCACTTCAGTTAATCCTATTAAACACCATATATTTTCGTCTTTTAAATGGTCAATGAGCTTTCTGTTTGTATGTTTTATTCCATGAAATGATAACTCAGTTACCAGCATTCTGTTAGTGAGCTCCTATTTGTTGGTGTATGTTTCTTTAATGGTTACTGAAATGTATGTTGCTTTAATGGTTACTGAACTTTTGATGGACCAACTTAACTTACCTTTCTACTGTGTACAGGATGCTTTGAGGACTTTTCTACTGCGCAAGCTTGATAATCTTGCCAAGGATGACACATGCCAAATAACTATGATTTCAACTTGGATTACCGAATTATACTTAGACAAGGTTCATGCTTTGTAGATCTGATGTACTTGTTGGGCCTGAACTAGTGGTACTCTATATGAAAATTTAAGTAAACTCATGCGATTGTTTCATCTATTGCTGCTTCATTCTATTTCTGTGCTCTACAGTGAAAGATATCCATGAGTGACTTATTTTTGCGTGGTAGCATTTGATTCTGCCTAATTCATGAAGCTATGGTACCTAGGTCAATGTTGCTTGTGACTTGTTTCCTTAGCTGACATATTAACAAGGTTGTTTAAATGAAAATTTTTAAAAATTACTTACAAATATTGAGTGATAATTTGCTTGAGTTACTTGTGGTTTGACTATCGAGATACAAATTTATCTGTGATTGACTTTGGCTATTGTGCTGCTTTGATATGTTTAGAGATGTTTGCTCTAAACAGTATTAGCAGTACCAATTCTTTGTTAATTCCTGCCTAGGTTTCTTCTTTTGGTGACAAGCAGTGGCTTTTAGAACTATAGTAGATTTGCAAAGAAATTTTTGCCTAACACATAATGAACATCTTGTACTCTTATGCACAGAAGTCATTGTTTTTAGTTTTGTTAAGGGAATAAAATTCTAGTAGCCATATTGCTAAGGCATCCAGAATGAAGAAGAATTAATAACATTAGGGACTTTACTTTGTGGATTGATGGTTTCACAAGAAAAGAGAGAATAGTCATTCATGAGAGGCAGGCATTCAGAGGAAATTCTTTCAGATGTTGTACTGTTAGTTATTTACATCCATCAAGTAATGAGGACCAGTCTTAATTCAAGGTTTCGAAGGGTCCTTGCTTGGCCAATTGTCCCAGCTTCACTCAGTCCCTTGATCCTAAACTTTCTTCTGTTAACCTTTGAACACCTCTGCTTTTGGAACGCAATGCTAGGAAAGAGCAGTGATGCTACGGCCCTTTCTCTCATCTGAAGTGAACAAGAACATGGTTAACTCTAAGTTTTACATTAAAATAAAGAAAAATGAAAGTGGAAATTGCCATCTCAATCCCATTTATATGCAGCCTAATCCTGACATTATCCTTTCTCTGCTCCATACCCTTTTGGTTGAGCAGAGTCTTTGTCATTCTATTTGGTGTTCTATTGGTCTTGTTCCACCTTTATTGGATCAACCCAATAATTTGCTTTTAGGGTGTTATCATGATGAAAGTGATTGCACCTTATTCTGGCACATTTTTTCTGCAGATAAGCTCTTTGTTATTCTTTCTCTCAGGCTGAAGTTTATGCCCTCTTTTGTTCTCTTGAAGTGAATTTTTGTCTTATTGAAATGTAGCTTCTTGTGTTGCTTGATGCTTCTTCATTCCATTTGTTAATTTAAATCAGCACTTCCAAATGGTTCACAAAAACCAGGGAAAAAAACTAAGTTGGATATAAGATACTGGACTTTAATGATATTATAGTTGTTCGGAAGAAGGATTTACGGTCAGAATTTCTCTTTCTGAAAGAAGGGGAGTGGGATTTAGTGCAAGAAAGGAAAGAAAGGAAGGCTCAAAAACTCAAAAAAGAAAGTGTTTATGGCCCGTTTTGTTGTGGAACTTTTGGTTTATTTGTGTATGTGGTGCATTAATATATGTTATAGACAATAAAATCACCATTGATGTATACAGTTGAATTCTTTTAGAGTACTTAAAATTTATTGAAGCATTTCTTCATAAGAATTTTAAATTAATTGCATGCATATGCATGTCAATTACTACGTTTTGTGTATGTATCTGACACTTGGGCTATTTCTGGCTGAGGTGTCTTGCTTAATCCAACTGGACTAAATTTGACTTATTGATAAACCTGCATTAGAGTTTATTTAAGTGGTTCTTCTGTAACTGTTACAAGTTTGCAACTCTATAGTAAGAATAAAACTAGGTTTCATACTACATTTATGCAGTTTAGTCTTTTGATGGCATGAAGTGCTTTGGTTAAGAATCCACCTTTATGTTTTGTGGTTCACTTGATTTTCTGTTTCAGGACTATTCATCTTAAAGAATTTCAATAAGGTTTTCATGGTAATAGAACTGTTGCCATTGACCCAAGTTCATTGGTCCACTTAACCCACCTGCGCTAATTTTGTACAAGTGGCTAAAAAAATGGATGATTGGCCAATTTTAGGTTCTAATTGGCCGGTTCTTTCCATTCATCACCAGATTAGAATTTACCAAATTTAGCCCACTACTACATAATGAGACCTGTACAATACTTAGAATTAGATTGTCATTACACAATTTGTCTTCAAGGCCCGCCAGAAGGCAAGCTTGATAATGATTATAGTCAATATTTGTAAAATTACATTCTGTACTGAACCTTTGTCTATTTTATTCTTAGAATGGTTCTTAAATTCCACTTAAACAAGCTAGAGAGTGGGATGATGTGTATTATTCATGGTTTTTTATATGCTTATTCACTAACTTGAAGATTCCATTGATTGGTTGTATATGTTCTTTGCTGAATTTACCAATGTGTTGATACCAGATAAATAGAGTACTTTTGGAGGATGAAGGTGCTTCTGAAAAAGGTGCTTTAGAGTACCAATTAATTATTAAGGAGTTTCGTGCTTTTCTAAGTGACTCCAAGGATGTATTAGACGAGGCAACCACGATGAAGCTATTGAAAAGGTGAACAATGTTTAATAGTAATTTTGCCCTAGCAAAGATGAAACGTTTCAGGTGGTAAAACATATGATGCTATTGTGTAAATATTAGATATTCTAATTGAGATAAGCAAAAGAACAAAAGAGATGCTATCATGTTTTTCATTTTACTTATGGTCTTCAAGTTATTACTCGTTTTATAGGTCAATTTAATGTTCTTGATTACGAACTTTTTTTTTAATATATATTTGAGATTTTTCATCACAAATGTATATCATAATATTGCTAATTTTGTATGACATTACCTCTTGAAGTGTGATAAAAACCTGTCTACTCATGAGAGAAGTTCTCTTACTTTTCCTGGAAACTTTATGCTCATTATTGGGTTTTTCTTTTTAAATTTGATTTTGTGGGCATGCTAGTTTTCAGTTTTTTGAAAATGACTTTCATGGTGTTTTGCAGCTATGGTAGAGTTGATGAATTGGTATTCTTTGCTAATCTGAAGGAGCAACATGAGATTGTGGTTCATCATTACATCCAGGTGCTTGTTTTGTGACCGCACTTAAAATTCTCCAGACAAAAGAAGAGGTGGCTAATGCTGCAATCCGTCTCCGTAAAAAGGAGATACAAATAACTCAGGAATATGAATTTTGTTTAAGATTAATTATATATGAAGCTGTGATTTGATATAAAGCTTGACCGCATAAGCACTGCTTTTAACTATTCTTTATTTGAAAATGCTGGTTAAAATAATAGACTTGAATCTTTTATTCCATTTTTCATGCTTCTTCTGTTTCTGTACAGCAAGGAGAATCAAAGAAAGCACTACAAGTTCTTCAGAAACCTAATGTTCCTATAGACCTCCAGGTTTGGAGTTCTACTTCAACTGTCTAATAGTGGTCTATTGTCTGCATGTCTTTTGTTGTTATATTAAACATGATATAAGCTGAGTCTTCCCTATCCAGTCAAACATGATGTGCGCCATTTTTTTTTCTTTTTGCCAGTACAAGTTTGCTCCAGACCTCATTATGCTTGATGCATATGAAACTGTCGAATCATGGATGACCACTAAAGACCTGAACCCCAGAAAGCTGATTCCTGCCATGATGCGATATTCAAGTGAACCTCATGCTAAGTAACGTGCATACTCTTTTGGACTTTTTCCTTTTTCCTTTTTTTTTCCCTGGTTCTGGAAATGCATTCTTGTTTCATGTTCATAAGCTCTGAGAATGTGTAGTTTCATCAACGAGAACAACTCAAGAAGGTTGAATGCCTTTCTTTCTTCTTAAATTTTCTTTATAACATTTTATTGATAATTTGCCCTTTAATCAACTGATAATTTGCACTTCTCGAACTCTGGAATTCATGCGTCTCCAATACTTGATCTCATTTTGCTGTAACCTTGTCTTAAGTCATCATAAGTAACTCATATCGGATCAAACTTAGTCTCTAGTTCATGGAAAGAAAATTGTTATTCCCAACTTGATTGTTGGAACATGATATTTTCTCATGCATCCTGAAATGAAGTAATATATCTTTACATGCTTTCATTTGACAGCACAAAATCACTTTATATTTTTTGTTTTGGGTTGAACTTGTTGGTTGGTGTCATCCAGGAATGAAACACATGAAGTGATCAAATATTTGGAGTATTCCGTTCACCGTTTGCAGAATGAGGACCCTGGTGTTCACAATTTGTTACTCTCTCTGTATGCCAAGCAGGTTGAGCCACTTGGAGTCTCTATAGTGCATTTTAAAGATTAAGATGTTATAATCAATTTTGCTTCCGTATTTTTTAATTTTTAAAATTTTTTTTGCATATGGATGCTGCTGAGAATATTAGAAACTGGCATTATTTGGTAAACATTAGTTACATGTTTTAGAGTTACAATAGACCTAAGAGCCACATAAACTAGAGATTGGCTAATAAATTCGTGTGTCTAGATATTGGGTAGTGATAGCATTTCTGAAACTGGGAAGTCATGCTCGCTTTTTGGTAGAAGTTAGTAATGCTGGATGTTGACAAAGCAAACATTTGTCACTAAGAGTAAAATTATATTCCTGTAAATGGTGTGTTACAATTTGCTGTTTAATATGCCATTTCTGACATCTGAAAAAGTGAATATCTACTTTTTGAGCTGAGGTTGTCTTCTATTTTAATTCGAAAAGTTTTTTTTCTTAATTTGTTTTTACCTATAACCCTTTTTCTTCATATACTTACCTTGATATACACTTACTTTCATATGCTTGCCTTGATTTTTGGTGCCTTATAAATGATGTATCATGATGAAGTTTATCAGTGAACAATGCATTGGAATCCTTGGTGCAGGACAAATGCCTGTTATGAGCCAGATAGATCTCTTTCAATTTTTGGGAGAGTAGTATTTGCATTTTCAGAAGTTGTTAAGCATATAGCTGAGTTGATTCCCTTCTGGGACAAATGCCTCATTGTTTAGGGATTTGTTATGATGTATAGAAAAACATGACTCCACCCTTCTGGGTACTAAAATTTATTTCTTTTTTTCAAAATCACTTGTAAATGTTTTGCAGCTGTCTCTGTTATTGTAGTTTAGTATAAAATTAATTCCTTTTTTATTTTAATCTGACTTTGACACTAATATTTGTTTCTCTTCAGGAGGATGAGAGTTCTCTTCTGCGTTTTCTACAGTGTAAGTTTGGTAAAGGACGATCAAGTGGCCCTGAATTTTTTTATGATCCCAAGTATGCGTTGCGCCTTTGTCTTAAGGAAAAGAGAATGCGTGCATGTGTTCACATATATAGCATGATGTCCATGCATGAAGAAGCGGTTGCTCTCGCACTGCAGGTAAAGCTCAAATTGATCGTGATGATTGGTTTTGTATTCTTTGTCCTTGTAAGAGCACATAACTTGTGTTATCAGAGCTCAAGTTTTTAATGCCCAGTGAAAGATAGTGCATAGCTAGTGTATTATCAGATTTTAAAGCAAAATGTAAGTACTTATCAAAAATATCAAACTTTTAAAATGGATAGTACAATGTAAACATTTCCAAGTAATGGAATTTAGTGACAAAAAAAAGTCAAATTCTAACAAAAACATTTTCTTGTGTTTGGTTTTGGAAGGAAACAGGGAAGATGAATAACAATGCAAGTAACTTTGCTAGGATTTACACATTGATTATCTAAGTAACTTGTGAATGCTTGCATTCACACATTGATTATCTTACTTTGCTAGCAGGATTCAACTATTATTCATTGTTGTACTTTTATCTGCTCCTCATTTAGGGTGGATTACAAAATGCACCTAAAAAATTACATCTCACTTTGCCCTGTATTTTCTAGATGAATCAATCTCCCCTATTTTCCCAACAAAACAAAATCAACCTAAGAAGCCAATAGTAAATATGTATTTTCATGTGAGATGTAATTAATATACCAATTAGCCTGTGGTAAAAAATTTTCACAGTATATCGTAGGCTTTGGAGTTCTGTAAACATTTTGTTTTTCAAGTTCTGTGGTGCATATATATGCTGGTGATTATGACTGGAAAACATTTATAGCTTTGGGTCAATAGTCGTTTTCACCAAAGGTGCAGTTGTCTGTTTTTCTGGTTCAACATCTGCATTCTTCCCACGATGTTAGATGCTATTTGGGCTTTTTGGGTTGATTGTAGCATTGATTGGGGGGTAATTGTCCAATTGAATGATGACGGCAAGTTGGTAAACAAGTACTTTTAGCATGAGAAAAACCATGACAGATAAATTTTTCATCAATCTCTTTTTTAACTTTTTGTTCAACATTTTAGAACCGAAATGATGCCTTGAGTGTTTGGAGTTTGAATTTTATGCAAATTGCTTGAACATGTTGTCTTGATACAGGAAAGACCAGAGTACATAAAAAGTACATATGTATTTCAAGATGATAAAAGAATTTGTTCATCTCCAGTTTTGAGATCAGCATATATTTGAAATACTACTTTCTGTAATCTTGGAGTTTTCCTAATTTTAATAGGTTGATCCAGAGCTAGCTATGGCTGAAGCTGACAAAGTTGAAGATGATGAAGAGTTAAGGAAGAAACTATGGCTTATGGTGGCCAAGCATGTCATAGAGCAGGAAAAGGGAACAAAAAGGGAAAATATTCGGAAGGCAATAGCTTTTCTCAAAGAGACGGACGGACTATTAAAGATAGAGGACATCTTACCCTTTTTCCCAGACTTTGCTTTGATTGATGACTTCAAGGTATGCCCTTGATTGTTGACTACTAAAATGCTGAGGAGTAGTTTTTTTTATTATATATACATTTGTATTCAAATGTTCATGCACTTGCTATATCTTTGCATGTCCATGCAGGAGATGAGAAAATACAAAAACCATTGTAAACTTTTTAAATAATTAATCTCAACTTTCAGAATTTTCTACTTTTTCATCGTAGTTTTGAGAGGATGTATATGTATTAACACTATCGATGTCATCCAAGTGATAGTTTGTTTCTTTGTCTCACTTCTTACCCTTGTTATTTCCTTTCTGCTTTTTACATGTTCTCTTGCTCCTACTCTTATTGGTTGAGGCAAGCTTAATGTTGTCTACAATTGCTGCACTAAATTACCTCAAACAACATTGCAGGAGGCAATATGCTCATCCTTGGAGGACTACAATGAACAAATTGAAAATTTGAAGCAGGAGATGAATGATGCAACTCATGGTGCTGATAATATACGGAATGATATAAGTGCACTTGCTCAACGGTATGCAGTCATAGATCGTGATGAGGAATGTGGGGTAAGATCTTCTGATTAAGATGTTTTTCCATCTAAAGTTTCTTAGCATACGAATTGCTGCTGTCATGCTTAAAGTTCTTCAGGCATGTTCTTTTTCTCCATCCATTGTATGCTTGCACTTATTCCCAGTTGCTGGCCATCAGGTTTGCAGAAAGAAAATCTTGAATGTAGGTCGGGACTATCAGATGTCTTGGGGTTACACATCAGCTGGATCTATGGCCCCTTTCTATGTCTTTCCTTGTGGACATGCATTTCATGCTCAGTGCTTGATTACTCATGTGACTGGTTGCACTAGTCAAATGCAAGTACGACCTGGAATACTTTGCTTCTTTTTGTTTTACTTTTATTTAAAGTAACCATCACTCTGGATACTTCTTGTGTACTGTGCAAATGTCGGTATATTAAGTGTTTTTGATACTCTGTTTATTTTTCTTGCTACTATGAAACTTTTCCTAAACTGGATAAGAGCATATATATGCTAGTGATACTGCAGCTAGCATATTGACATTCTTTTTTTTTTTGGGTAATATAAAAGCTGACATCTGTGTTATATTTGCCAAATGTTTCTTCCCTCAAAATGATACTGCAGGCGGAATATATATTGGATCTGCAAAAGCGACTTACATTACTAAGTAATGAACCCCGGAAGGACTCAAGTGGTGGATTGTCCGAAGAGGAACCATTAACAAGCATGACTCCTTTAGAAAAGGTGATCCTTTTGATCTATTGGCTTCTCTCGCATAATAATAGTCATAAATGGGTAGCTTTTGTATTGGGTGGTCGTTTGCATTTTCTCCATGTCTGCTAAGTCTTGTTTCCAGTTTGGAGAAGATTTAAGGAACTTTCTGTTGTTTCTAGCATGTTGATTTCTCTAGGACATCTTTTCAGCCTTGTATGTTCTCTATTCATATTGTTTCTTTCAGTTGTTATAATTGAAACCTTCTGCTGAAATATTTTTCAGATCCGATCACAACTGGATGATGCTATAGCCAGTGAATGCCCATTTTGTGGTGACCTAATGATCCGGGAGATATCTTTGCCTTTCATTCTTCCTGAGGAGGCAGATGTAGCAGCATCATGGGAGATCAAACCGCATAATCCTGGAATGCAGAAGAGTCTTTCCCTACCAGCATATTAGGTTGTACATACGAGCGTCTATAGGCAAGCGTGTATTGTGTAACTGTAGTTTGTGATTGTGTACCACCTGATGATTCACCACTCCATCTTTACTACTGATGACACTTTTGCAATCTCTTCTATATCAAGATCCAGTTTTGATCAAGGTATCGTTGACATTCTTTGAAATGCTTTACTGAGTGTTTATCATATTGTGCACTAAGTTAAACTGGTTTGGTTGTACATCTTACAACAAAATTTTTTTGGAACTTTAAGTAAGCTGGAACATTCAATTCATCTCATCCACCGCCTACATTCTATCTTCAGCTGTTTCTGAAAACTGACTGCATCAATTTCTATGCTATTTGTGCAAGATCGATATGGTTGTTTGCTTGCTATTTTCTCTTGTTCAAAAGACCACGTACAGGGAAATAGAGGATGATTAGAAAAAGACAGGCAATGCACTTTTGCGGGCACAAAAAATGGGCAGAATGGAAAATTAAGTATGCACAGGACCTTGCCAGTTGCTGCAGATCAGTTGACACCCTTCAAATTATTACCACAAATAATGCATAAACACACTGCTCCCAGCAGCACAAGCAATCAAATCTTTGTTGGGATGCCAAGCCAGATGCAGCAACTTAGCGTTCAAGTTACAATAGAACTCGTTATGTTCTGAATTTAGATTTTCTTGCCCTGCAGTTGCCAAGAAAAGCAATTAGGTGAAGGTGAGTGGAGACAAAGATTAACGGAGAGAGAGAGGGAGAGAGAGTCAACCATGTCGGGAAAATGCACGAGTCAGATTACTCAGAGATCTTCTACGAGCTCTCGTATTAGCGTGCATGAGTGGCTTCCTACATGACAAAAGGCAATAACAAAAATCAAACGTTTTCATGGTGGGGGCAAAATAAAACTCACACGAGGCATTAGAAGGAAAGATACCTATTTGGATTTTTGCTAGCTTCAAATGTGATATCTTCTACACCTCCTCCGTGAGAAAAAATATGCACTTGGTTGCTGAAGATAGCATAAAGCTTAATAAGAACATGCGCAATCAATACAAGAAAAAAGCAATAGGCTGATAACTGTTGAAAATAGAATCTTTGATGTCCACAGGCAGCAAGTCTTTGGGACAAGCACAAACCTATATGATCCAGTTGCAAACTGAAGTCCATCTCCTCTGAGACAGCAAGCAAATTTATCAAATAGGGCGTCGTTGTTATACAGATCAGACAGCTGTGCAATGTGCAGCCGGATGTCAGCCAGTGGAAGTGAAATGAATTGCAAAAGAAACACTAATATCAGGTATAAAAATTGAGGCGGCTCCATATAAAATCGTACTAGTTGTCTTGAGATTGTACTCATCCAAAAGCAAATGCCAAATTAACAGAACAAAGATTCCCTTAATTTGAAAATGCTCCTAGAACCACCTGATTCTTCTTGTTATTTAGTTTTGGCACATTCATTCTGCCTATGAATTGTGGGTTCAACAAATTTTCACCTTAGACAAGTAAAATTTCCTGTTGAGCAAGGTCCTACAGGGGCTTTATTTTTTTGTTTTTTGTTTTTGGATCCCAACAGGGACTTGCCTACATTCATGGATCAACAAATTGTCCATGCTGTTGCAGTAGACTAAATGAGTGAAAGTTGCATTTTAAACATGATGCATTGGATCAGAACAGGCAAATTACATATTTGCTGGTTTTAACTGGTAAGATACCATGGAGAAGAGGAGTAGGTAATCCTAGCTGAATTACTAAGTTTGAGATTTGGTTCAGTAAGAACGAAAAAGCCTTTTTCAGGTGGTAGTAAATAAGAAACTTGAAATCATATCACATGAAAAGATTAGCAGTTGAGAAGCTAAAGACTTTCAGAAATTAATATGGCAACTTTGGAGGAGAGCTTAAGACAGATAAGTGCGTTCAGTCCCATATGCAATGGGTTGAACCAACCAAAGAAGCTGACATTGTACGCAAAATTTCATCTCCCTGTTCTATCAGTATAATCATGCTGGGTTATCAAACAAAAGGTGTTCTAGAAATCAAGAGTTTATGAAATTTTATACAAAACCATCCAGGTAGCCCACCGTAAATCTATCCCCTGGCGAAAGGGAATGTTGCATACCTTGGGCCGAAGATGCTCATGAATCTTGTATGTTGCAACTGGAGAATTCTCCATATGTATATCCCACAGCTGAAAAGTATCAAGCTAAGATATTACGAAGCTAACCAAACCTCTTCTCTCTGTTCTTATTATCACTGTAATCACATGAAAAGAAAAACTACATTCACACAGACATGATGACATCAAGTAATATAAAAACATAATATAAAACATGATTAACAACTGGGAAGAGACTTCACTTCCAGTGGTTGTCATGGAAAAACTACTGGAAGGGAAGTATGAAATGTTAAAGATCCAAACTATGCTACTCTGTTCATGTTACAGGGACTAGGATGAGGTAACTTCATTCTCAAACTACAAAGTTGAAAAAGTCTACTTGGTTGGAGGCTTAGCCATGTAAAAAGTTAAGAAAACTAGCAGCAAAAAAATCACCCGTTTTCTTGATAGTGGAAACAAATTTAAGATCTCAAAAAAAATTGCAATTTAAACAAAAAAAATTGCAATTTATCATTTGTTCCTGAAGCATCCATTCTCATTTCCAAGCTCTCATATAGGAGTAAGTTTTCTTCTCTTCTTTTTCTCGTAAGTTTCCACTCATCTCACTTTCTCTCCTGTCTCCTAAATTAGGCCTTTTGTCAGTTTAATTGACAGACCTTTAGGCTCATGTAATCACGACTTAAGATGTGTCTTCCATTAGATGCAAACTTCAAATCTGATATTGATGCAACGATCTCTGTAAAAAATGATTTGGACCCATTGGATGCTCCATCATGCAATCTGTAAAACAGATACTCGAGCTTTATATTTTGGAAGGAGATTGCAGATTTATAAAGCATTCTGAACTCAAAGAAATGAGATAGAGAAACAAAATGCTCACATCCTTGAACTTTGATCACATATCGCTGACTTTCTCATGTCTACTAGCCGGATATATCCCCTTGAACTACTGTAAGCGAGCAGATTACAGTGAAATGGATGGAATTCTGCTGATGTAATTACCTCTAGATAAAGGTCAGAAAATCCATCATGCTTTTGTTTTCCATTGGACAATGATGTAAGTAGGAAAGTAGCTAGATGGTATTGAAGTCCTTAGTTATTTCATCAAGGAACTAAGTTAGAAGACCACCTATAAATTCACATCCAGGATGATTTTTCTAATGACAGATAGGCAGGCAGAAAAATGAGCTAATGTACTTACATTGTGTTGCGTGTTTTCTTATAAGATCATTCTCTTGATAATGCTACATTCTGAATGTGAAAGACAACAACTTGGCATATGTCAATTTGTCAAAGAACATGTGTTTGTCATTACTTCAGACACATGGGATGCTCACGAGCTTTACCATAATTAAAAATTTTTTTCTATAGGTAAAATTGTAATTATATTACCAAAAAGAAGGCAAATAAGAAGCTCTTATCAAGAAGTCTAAGAAGTCAAAACAGACAGAAACTCCACCCATTGTCATGAGTAGAAGGTGCGGATTAGTTACCCCCAAAAAATTGAAAACTGTCTCTGTAGTCTTCCATACAGAAATATTCTCTATGCCATCAAATGCTCATTTAGCTTTCATTTTACAGACTGACATCAAAGCCAGGGTTGCTACTCTAGTAATCTTGTCGTCATGTGAATATTAATACCCGCTTGCAATTGTGATTTTACATCAGCTGAAAATGATTATCATTTTATCCATTACCCTAGCATATTTTGACAGATCCTTCCATCTTCTAGATTTTTAGCAGTCAGAATGGAGTTCCAGGCAGTAAACCAAGTAAAGAAGCAACTAATTTTTGTGCACTAAAGTTCCATACTACTGTAGAAGGAAATGAATATCCACACCATTTCTCAGCGTGTGACACCAAGCCTTTTTACTTGAATAGTTTCTCCATTTCCATATTCGTTCCTTATAGTACTGCAATTTTAGAGCAGTTTAGAACATGAAGACAGTAAATTGATGTTACAAATATTACTTTTCTGAACTTTAGAAACATAAAAGGTGGTGCGAAAGCAGATAAGTTTATTACCAAAACATACCTGTAAGATCCTCCATATTAGGTGGCTTCATGTCAATAATATTGAAACACTGATCACTGATCTCAAGGTTCCACAGGTTTACCCTGAAGTCATCTGCAGATAGAAATGTCTCACCATCACTGTAGACATTAGAAAACCACTTTTAGTTTGGGTGTTCAACTATCCTTTCTAACAAGTTGTTTTCAAATTATAGTACACACTGCTTAAAAGCATAATAGTGATTTTTTGCTTTCTGTCTTGCCTATTAAGACTGACAAGGATAGTCTAGTTTTTCAAGATTCTCTTTTGAAGAAGTACTAAATTATGCGGAACAACTAGATCGGGCAATAAAGTTTTTAGGAAAACCATGACATTTGCAAACCACAATGGAATCCACAAAACTTGCTTTCTTTTTAATTGAAAAAGACTTACAAAAGAAAGTCAAAGCTCATAATTGAAATTTAGCCCAGAAGGTACCTATTGTTTGAGGTAGAGTTGATATTGAAATCATGAGCATGAGCATATGCCTTTCTACATCTTGCTGGTGGACTATCTTCAAATTTTGGCACCTAATCAAATTACAGATTGGCATTAAACAGCTTTTAATGGAGGAAACAGGTGGAAGGTTATCTTAAATGAAGAACTTAAAAAGTCCATGATAAATACCTTGGTATGGCTGACACTAGAGTATGCGCCATTGAAAGTTTTGTCTGCCCATTCTACACCATTAGAAAGGGGTGTTGTTTCTGGAATGCTAGAAAAACTCTTCTCAGCCAAAAGGGAATTTTCTGAAGCAACAAAAGGATCAAGATCCATTTCTTTAACTTTCTTGACTTTACTTTCCTTGACCTGGCTATGTACGAGACAAGTTGGAACACATGAAATAGAAGAATACTTACTCAAAAACACGGAAAAGCATAAGCTGGAGAAAAGAACTAGTTATTTGCATTTCAAATTATTTTTCTTCAGTGTGAACCAGAACCAAATTTATTTAGCAACAAAGTCATTTCATGCTCAGCTAGGTTCATCTAGTTGAAACAATATCCGAAACTTCCACCTGTAGTTAAAAATAAATAAATCAGGTAACCAGTAAGTGTTAGGATTATCCTCTTCAGTGAGTGAAAGTCTTGCTACATACAATATTTTCACCAATTCAGGTTATGAGGAGATTCAACTAGTTCCTCTACCTCGTCTGAGATGACATATTCTAAACTTTGGGTCCATATTTTCTACTCCAATTGAGCATTTTTCAGCGCTCAAGCAACTTTTGTTAACATAAAGGCATCGAGTATATATAGTCCCTCTTCACGGCTTTTCCTTAAGAGCGTATAGTACTAAAGAGGGGTTTCCTCTACTGTAATACTTTATTTCTTGATAAATGTAAAACTTCTAATTTTTCTCAAAAAAAAAAGGTATAGAAAAACACCCCTAGTGGGATGAGTCATTTGCCACAAGGTGAGTATAAGCTTCAAAATCTCAATATTGATTGCACTCTGGAATAAAACATCAAATTCTGGAGATCATACTACTGTAAAACGAAAGTTGGTCAAAAATCCATAAGCTTATATAAGGCAAAAAAAAAAAAAATTGAAGAGAGATTCATTGAACTGATGAAATTCTGATTATGCCTTTGTAGACATGCTGCATTTTTATAAGCAACTAATACTAATATTCAGCTGATTAGACACTTGAACCAAGAAACTCTGCTATATGCTCAGTGAATTTTCCAGCTTCCTGCTTCAGGCCAGCATTGCCTTTTCTTAGTGCTTTAATCATCAGGCATAAAAGCTTCATCTGCCCAGTATCTCTCACATGAGGAAGGTATAAATGAAAAAAGAAAAATTGGTTCTAGGGTTATCTTATCAAACCTAAAAATGCAAAACGTGGTTTTAATTAAATTAAAGAACCTGACAGCATGAATTGTTCAAGTAATAAGAACAGATTTTCAGATGCATCATACTTGTCTGCTGCTTCTAAAAGCATAATACAACTGTAACTTGTCCAACTGCAGTTCTAACTAGAGAACAGTAAAACAGATCCCAAAAAGACAAATCCTAATCCTGCCAAAGGCTCCATGGTGCATACTATACTAATACTGAGTATTCACTAGTGAACTCCTTATACTAGGGGCAAGTATGACAAGAACATATTTACCTTCCATAGCTTTACAGTCCTATCATTTGTTGAAAGAATGAATAGTGATCCGTTAGGAGACATACACCATCTCACTTTGTTGATCTTCTCTTCAATTTCCAAGCTCTTCAGGTAATCAAACTGAAGGAAAGTTAAATAATCAAAATATAATTAGCCACGGTGATCAATAGAAATAACCTGAGAAGAGCAGTAGAAAGTGACAAAAGGGAAAAAAGGGGAAAATAATCATAGTTCCGTGTAGCCTACCTCTGGTTCATGACTCTGGAACTCAGTCTTGTATTGATAGTTGGGAGGGTGCCTTATCATGAAATCATTTTGCTCTAGCTCATTTCGAGTAATGTACTCAAGTGAATCCTAACAAGATATAGATCTTTCAGATGACAATTTAACAAATAGGAGTATGCCAGATTTAATCAATTCCTTTTACTGAGATAAGAATGAAGATTTAAAAGTCAATTCTAACCAGTGTATTTGATACTCACATCTTTAGGGGTCCTCTTTTCAAAAATTACAACACGCCCACCATGATCTCCAACAGCAACATAATCACCACCCTTTTCGAACTCAATTGCAGAAATGATATCAGCTACAGAGAAAAACCACATTCATTATGTTATCAATTGAAATGGATAAGGCTTGTGAGAAGACATTTACATTTTGCTTAACAGAAAGACTTCTAGTGATGTACATAAAGATCAAAACTGACAACAGAATGCTCATACGGCTCCAAGAGGCTAGATGTAGCCAGCCTTTATTCCTAGGCCACTCTTATGCACATAGTACAGAACAGAGAGATTATCATAGAGCAAATACTGTCTTCTTTGCTCTGAACTTCTCCTTTTACTTGCTCATGTAGACAAAAGATTGCTTCCATTCCTATATTCAAGGATACACTACCTATTTCGGAATCCTCAAATTTGAAAAGTAGCTAATAATCTGTAATACATAAAAGCAAAGTACAAAATAAGAGCAATAGCCCACATCTTTCTCATTTCCAGTCCATTCAAGAATACTACAATACTTTTTAACTCTGACCTACCAAAAAGTATAATATTGTGCTGGAGTCAAACAGTACGATACAAAACAATGTAGACAGGTAATGCTTTAACTGTGGTTGTGATCCTTTGCATTTCAAACTCCAATTAGACAACAAGCTTTACCCTACCCTAAAGTTCCACCAAGGATTCAACTTCTACCCATATAATCACAGTTCACAATAACATCACATATATGCAGAAAAACACTGCACCTAATAGCTGAATTATACACTAAAAATGGCACTGCAAGCTACAATGTAAACTTTTTGCAATATTTATAGGGTTTAATAAGAATTTGGCCAAATTGAATGCTAGTGTAACATCAGAAACCAAATACTCACATAATTAGTACAAATAAGTACAAAGGGCCATCACAGCAATGGTTGTTTATTGGGTATAATCTAAAATTAGTCCAAAAGCAGAAAAAAAAAGGTTAAAAAAAAACATAAATCATAATCATGGAACAATTTGAAGATAGTTAGAAAATTACTTTGCTGGACATCTTCACCCGGAGCTGGTTCCCCAAAGACCTGAGAGAACTTCCATTCAGTGGTATGAGGAGTTGAGATCGAGCTCAAAGTCATGTGGGTTTTCTCTGAATTCTAGGAATTTCAACGCTGGAGAATCCTTTATGAAATACTATTATTGTACTGAAGCAGAATCAAGAACGAGTTGTAGAGAGTTTCGGGGTATTGTCTTTTCTTGGGAGTTGAGGCTGAGCTGAGGATTTGGAATTCTGTTATCCACTCATTTCTGGGTTTTATTTTATTTTTTTCCCGGGAAACATTTTCCAGATGCTGGGAAACTGGGCTAATTCCTTCTATTATTGGCCAAAAAATAAAAAATCGAAAGAATGTTGTTCGAATATGAAAAAATTTTACACAAAAATTTTTTGAAATTTTTACACAAAAATTTTTTGAAAATTTTGATATATTGTATGGATGAGATATTTTTTGAATTATTGTGTATTACTATAACATTGTATTTGAAAATTTTATTTTTGAAATAATAGTCAATTCAAATAGAGCAACATGGACAGTCAGTCCAGCAGAAAAGAAAAATGTAAATACTGTCTTCTTAGAGCAAATACTGTCTTCTTAGTCAGTTCGGCAGCAAAAAAAATTTTTTTTTTTTTAAAAATGTTGGGCAGCCGGGCTTACAAGCTGTAATTTTTTTTTAAAAATGTGATAAAGAAATGCAAGGCAACGTCTTGACAATAAAATCATTCTCTAATACATTTACGCCATCAATTCTGTACTGTTAATAGAGGGCTAAAATTAGTGAAATAGTTCAATTGTCTAGCCAAAATTCTACGGCTCTAACTAAACTGTCTTTTCCACGCAAAGAAAATCTTGCTCCAGTAAACAATCACATTGCCCAACGTAGATCATCAATCGTAAGTCACAGAAATTGTTGTGTCCAAACAGACTATGAAAAAAGAGCATCCACCAAAGGAACTTGGCAAGGTGCCACTGGGTCTTTGGTCCAGTGGTCATTCCAAGCCTTCTTAGGCTTGGTGGTGCGAGAGGTCAAGGATTCGAATCTTGTCTCCTACAAAATATGTCATAATAAGTGACGGTTTTCATTGATCAGTTTTGATGGAGTTTCTACTCACATCGAGTCCCCTTTCCCTTCCCTCTAGAATAAGTTAAGTTAGGTTATAGAAATTCTATCGTATCCAAAAAAAAAAAAAAAAAAAAGGAACTTGGCAAGGTAGCTTGCGCAGTTAGCAAGGTAGCTCTTTTACTTGCTCCTCTGGCTCCGTTTCCGCATCCGCTGCCACCATGCAGCCATCCAATATATTGATTGAAATACTCCACGGAAGAAGCTGAAAATAAAAATTCAAAAAATTTACCCAACGGAGAAAAATATGCTGACCATCAATTAGTCAAAATCCTTGCTAATTTTAAGACTAATATCACTTAAAATAAATTTCAAGAAATAATCTACTATAAGTAGTATATACTAACCATTGCTAAGATAGAGGGTATATATGGCTGTTTTGCAGTAACCAAACGATCATCGCTAAAAATGAGCTAAAACCACAGTTAAAAATGCCATTAAAATCTACATGGAAAATTAAAAAAAAAAACACACACACACACACACAAATTACATTCAAACTAATTTTCATTTCTTATTCCCTAAAGTCAGACCATTTTTCTTGAATAGTAGAAAGGTCAGCTAGCATGAGTATAAAAATCAAGTATACCCAAGAAACATGCAAGAAAAGGCTCTCTATCCATGCTGTGGCCACTAGAAATTGCTGAACCGAATCAGCTACAAATTTGATCACCCTGTCAAAGAACTGATTCATCATGAGTTTCCTCTTCCTCCTCCTTTTTGGCTGCTCCAAAACAGATGGATACAAAAAAATTTCTAGCTTGGCTGCCGGACTTGGTCAATCCAACTTCTTAGCTGCCCTATCATTTAAAAAATTTTTTTTTTCTTTTCTATCGGGCTGACTAAGTCTGGCAGACATAGTTTCATACCATACCTATGTCAGAACAATATTCTTCCGATTTTTTATTTTTTGGACAATAATTGAAGGAATTACCTAGAAAATTGCTAATCAAAGTTTGTCTTTTGTCTTATTTGGGGTTTAAAGTTAGTTGAAGACTTACAAGTCAACGTTTAAAGTTTACTTGAAGACTCGTAAGTCAACAGGTCAATTGGTTTTGTGACAATAATATTGGGCAAGCCATTGTAGATTCAAAGAAATGATGAAATAAATTGTTGATTAGACATAGGATTAAATTGTAGTTAAATACTTAAAAAGAGATTACAATAGTTATTTTGTTTAAAAGATAAAATATTCTAAAATGTGATGTATTTTAGATACTTGTTATTTGTTATTCTTATTATTTCATGTGATGATTTGTATTTATGTCATTGCACATCTATATGTATATCTTATCTTACTATAAGATAGACAAATGTCCAAAGTCACCATAGCAACTTCCCTTGCTGACACGTGACACTATGGGTGAATTTTGAACTTTCTCTTTTGCATTCTCTATGGACTTGGTATTGCCTTTTGAACTTGGCATTGCTTTATAAGGTTGATTAGGGGAGTAAGGTCATTTGCCTACAATTATAAGGTTGAAATATTTTTAATAGATTTTTCAAACTCTAGATTTTGGAGAGATATAATTCAATTGGAGTATCATTTACATCATCATTTCAACTTATATTTGACAAATTCACTTAAGTTTTAATCGGATTACAATGCTATTATCATTGTTATTATTTGAATTTATATTTATATTTATTTCAATATGAATTATCATTTAAAGTTATATTTGACAAATTAAGTTGCATTTGTTAAAAATCGTAGAATTGCATGGATTTTTTCAAATTGTTATATTTTTTGACATTTTGTTATTTTGTTAATGTAATAAAATAGATTATTTAAAACTAATTTCATTTTGTTATCAATTCTATTTTAATTCATTTATACCTTAATATGTGTTTTTGTATTACAATTAATTTTTTTCCTTTCATAATCAAATGAATGCATTAACATCTAAATGACAAAAATATGTGTATATCTATTATATTTCATTAAAAAGCTCTTTGTTGTTGTTTTCATGGTAACCGTTAGATTTGCATTTTTTTTCTTATTTTCTATGCTATCAGATTATTAAATTATCAATAAAGCTTATTTATTATAAGTTCTAATTTGGAGAGAAAAATACTTTTTGAAACTTATTGCATTATTAGATTAATCAACAAGCCAACTTACAGATTGCTTGGTTCTCCTATTTTTCCTCTGTTTTGCTTGTAATAAGTCATAAGTCAAATAATGCAATCATTCTTCAACTACTCAACTTTTTCTCAATTACCTAACTAGATTAAATACTTGCAATTTTCTTCACAGTTAGGTTGTCCTTCACAAGAAAGTCGACCTTTTGATGAATTATTAATTGTATTTCATCTGTTTATAATCATTAGATTGAAAGACAAAGTACTAACTTAGTTTTAGCTTTCATGGACTACCTTTTTAGATGAAATTATTATCAACAAACTAACCTTGAATAGTATAGTACACACCCTCGCATATGCTACCAACTTTTATTGTGTTTCATTTCCTTCTCATTCTCACATAGCAGAGAGAAAACTTCCTCCACTTTTTTGTTTTCTAATGTTTAGTAATACAATTTTTCTTACTTTTTACTTCAAAAAATCGTTGTATTTATATCTTGCTATAGTAACATATACTTTCTTTTACATGTTTTGTGTTTTCCTATTGCAGCATTACTTTTAGTACTCAAGATTTTTTGTTTTGCTCGTCACTTTACTCTATGTTAGTCACTTCACTTATTTTATTTAGCACTAATTAAACCTATATAAACCAACTGGAATTGCCACCAAACATAATATACACTTTGCCTATCAATTTTATTTTATTTTATTTATGCATCAATACTTGCTTTTTATTACAATGAATTTTTTTCCTTTTATTAACTAGTAATGCATTGAGATGCTCTTTATAATATATTTACACATGACATTAATTTATAAACAATCTTTCAAATTTTTTCCCCTTAAACACTTTAGGGTGGGCATTGCACAGCTAGGCCTTAATAGTATATATATATATATATATATATATGAAAGTAATTATTTTAATCAAAGTCATTTCTCACTCCTACGTGGCATGCTTAATTGAGGAGAATTAATGAACACTTGAATTTTACCCATATTAAATCTGAATTGGATTATATTATATGTTTATAAATTATCTCTAAATAACTTTAAAAAATAACTAATTTTATTTTAAAGATATTGTTTTTAAAAACAACTAATCTTATCTTAATGATTCTATCTTAATGATTCTACTTTTTATCAAATTATTACATATAGAACTATAGCAAAAAAAATTTCGAATTACAATTATTGAAATGTTACATATCCCAAATTACTTCCTTTCACCACCATACTATGGATTAGTATTTAAATTATTCATCATTTCTTCCCTTAATTTTGAATTAACTTAGTATAAAAAATTGAATTAATTATTACACTGACAGATTTACCAATATTGTTGGAAACTGAATATTTATTGATAAAGAAAAATGGATTGCTGGATTTTTTCTACTTTATTAAATATGAATTATAGTTCTAGATTTATGGTTGACGGGATTTTTATATCAATACAAGTTTAAATTCGATTTTTATACCCGTTAGCTGCAAGTATACAGGCCGAAACTGTAATGTAGGATATGTATCGGGTCGATCCCAAGAGAAACAATTTAAACAAGTACTAGACCCTTATTTTTTTCTATTATTTAGACTTACAATAATCTGAGCAAGAAAATTATAATGCTATTGTCTACAACTCTGGTTTAATCAATGCTAAATGCAAATACAGAAATTTCACTAAAGATTGAATCTAGGAATGTAGATTCCACTTATAGCATAAATAATACAAATGAATAGATTTACTTCTTGTTATTTTTTTTGTTTAACCAGGGATTCATTTCCAATATTACCAAATCTCATTTTCATGATGAAATAGCCTAGAGCAAAATAGTTTTCCCTATTTTCATGGTAAAATACTACTACTACTCTGTTTTCTTTCATGAAATGTTAGAAAAATTCACTTAAGTGTATCTCTATTTTCATGAACATACAACTTAAATTCTACTCATGCGTTTCCATTGTTACTACCAATTCTCATTGAACAATAACAATTATAAACATGCTATTGGTGATCAAGCAATAACAAGTACTTACTACCTGCACAAATAGACAAGT